GGAGACTGGTCAGGGTTGAGGGAAAGCTGAATGGAGCAAAGTACAGATATATCCTCAATTAAAACCTGTTCCACAGCGCCCAGGACCTCAGACTGGACAATGACAATGACCCTAAGCACACAGCCAAGGTAACACAGGAGTGGCTTAGGGACAACTCTGTGAATGTCCTAGAGTGGCCCAGCCAGAGCCCTGACTTGAACCCTATCGAACATCTCTGAAGAGACCTGAAAAGGGCTGTCCACTGACGGTCCCCATCCAAGACCGATGTTGAGAGGATTTGCAAAAAAGAATGGCAGAAAATCCCTCAATCCAGGTGTGCAAAGCTTGCTGTGTCATACCCAAAAAGACTCGAGGCTGTAATTAGGGCCTTTCGCACAGCGGGAACCTTTTCATAGTACCAGAACTAACTGTGGAACTACCCACTTTTTGGCGTTTTCGCACCGCCGGAACTGGGTGCGATTTTAGTACCGGACTGCCTTTTTCGAGAACCAAATTAGCTCCTACTCCGGAGCAGGGTCTAACCAGCAGAACTGGTACTAATCGTGACGCAAGTAGACATTGATTGGCCAAACGTGTAAGGATAAAAGAAACTCAAGATACTTTGATCTCCTGAGAAACAGACAATACACTGGCATCTTCAAGACACCCCACAGAGGGGTGGTGCACAGCTCCGATCACAGCGTCCTCCTGTTGTTAATGTTGTTCTTTGTTTCTGTTGTTGAACGCCGCGCACAAATGATGTCGCTGTCGACCGGCTTACGTCACACTCTTAGTACACACTCTCGGTGCGAATGCAACCCTTTAAATGGTACTGGGAAATAGTTCGCGCAAAATCGTCCCAGTACTTTAGTACTGTACATTTAGTTCTGGAACTAAAGCGGTGCGAAAGGCCCTATTGCTGCCAAAGGTGCTTCAACTAAGTACTGAGTGGATTCAGTTTAAAAAATAAATACATTTACAGACATTTCTAAAATTCTGTTTTCACGTTGTCATTTATGAGGTAACGGAGTGTAGATGAGAAAATGAGAAAAAAAAAAAGAATTTAAACAATTGTAGTATCAGGCTGCAACATAACAAAAGTCAAAGGGGTCTGAATACTTTCTGAATGCACTGTATATATATTTTATATACATTTAAAAATATTTTGTATATAAAAGTGTAAATATGCAATAAATATTACAGCTGATTTTATTGGAGATTTTATTGCAGCTGATTTTGGATATTTTTTTACATTTTTAATTTCAGATATTTAATTTCAGATATTTATATCTATATAAAATAGTGTAAGTGATGTATATTATGTCAAAACTTCAATAAACTGCTGTCACTGCTCAAAATATTGTCAACCACCCATGTGTTTTTTTTTTTTTTCAGCTTGCCCGGACCCCCTGTTTAATGATGTGGTGAAGAGCCGTGCCTCCAAAACCATTAAAACCCTAACTGAGATCAACATCGCCTTCCTGCCCTATGAGTCCCAGGTGAGGCATTTCAGGAGGGGAGAGGACGAGAGAGATAAAAATATATAGGAATAATGACTATCCGTATAGAGAACTATCCAGAAACAACTCAGTGAATACAGAAATAGAGTGTTCCAGAACAGCTCTAAGGCTGGGGGGATGCAGTCTGGCCCACAATGCCTTGCTGCTTAGGCTGTCTGCTATGATTAATTCAGTGGAGTCAGAGGAGCAGTGCGTTTCTCCTGAGCTCAACGCTTCGCAGGCCCGCCTCGTTCAGCATCACGCAGCATCCACAGAGAGCCTTGGCCAATCAGAGGAGGTTATGAGAGGGAACAAGCATCAAGGGCAACCCATCTGCTGAACAGAAGGATTGTCATGTGACCCTGTGTGTGCTGATAGGGGGTGGGGAGGGGTGGTTGTGAAGACCTCACTGCCTGACACAGTCAGAGATTCGGCCACAGGAGACACAAAAGGCAGGAAGGAAAGGAATGAAAGCACAGACTGGAGACAACTCACTAACTCAAAGCTCATCCCTCAGACTACTTTGAAAACAGGAACACATTTCGTGGCATTCTGTCACAGGTCTTTTGCATGTGACATGCATACAAAATTATAAAAAAATATTTATTTATATAATAATTAATTTCTAGAATTAACTAGAATTAATTACTTTTATTTAGCAAGGATGCATTACATTCATCAAAAGTAACAGTAAAGACATTTATGGTACAAAAGATTTCTATTTCAAATAAATGCTGTTTTTCGACTTTCTATTCATCAAAGAAAAAAATATGTATCACAAAAAATATTAGACATCACAACTGTTTAACCAGTGTTTCTTAAGCACCAAATCAAGATATTAGAATGATTTCTGAAGGATCATGTGACATTGAAGACTGCTGAAAATTCAGCTTTGCCATCAAAGGAATAAATTACAGTTTAAAATATATCAAAACAGAAAACAACTATTTTAAGTTGTAATCATATTTCACAATGATACTGTTTTTACTATATTTTTAATCAAATAAATGCAGCCTTGGTGAGCATGAGATATATAATAGCAAATTTATATAGTAGCAAATAATAAAACATTTAAAATATATTCAGAAAATATAAACTGCATTATTTATTACCACTTAGTTTTTCTGTTTTTTTGTTCTTCTGGGGTTTTCTATGCAGCTCTTCATTGTGACTGCCTACCATGGTCTATTAAAATGAATGTATCTGTTATAGATCAGTGTTATTTTAGTATAATTTAGATACTATTATAGTTTTTATTAATATTTTTTATATATTTTTTCCATTTTCATTTTAAAGTTTTAGTCATTGTGTGTTTTGTCATTTTAGTACTTTTTGTCTTGTGTCTATGTTGTTTATATAATATAATTCCAGTTTTAGATATTTTAGTATATCAAGTTAAACTAAATTAAAATGAAAACTGTTGCATTGGCAACTTGCTGAAATAAAATTAAGTTTCAGTTGTACTTTTCTATAAAAACACCCACCCCAAAATGGCACAAAAACAATTATTGCACTATCAGTAACGATTATGAATGTGTTTTCAGGTGTTCTCCTTGGACAACCCTGATGCCTTCCAGAGTTTCTACAGCCCTCATAAGACACCGCTGAAGAACCCTGTGATGGAACGGTTGGCAGAGCAGCTGGCAACACTGTGTGCCACACTGAAGGAATACCCTGCCGTCCGATACCGAGGGTAAGGCACGAAGAGTGTCTGTCTCTTAATTACTGAGAAACAAAGAGCCTTTAAAGGGGTCATATGATGTGATTTCAATTTTACAAGTGTTACAAGCTCTTGGTGCATAAAGAAGATCTGTAAAGTTGCAAAGACCAAAGTCTCAAATCCAAAGAGATATTCTTTATAAAAGTTAAGAGTCAACCACGCCTACCTAAAATGGCTCTTTCTAACACGCCCCCACATGTCTACTTAAACCACAAAGACATTTCATTACACCAAATACACAAAATAATGTTCTTTTTAGCAGCATCATATGACCCCTTTAATCATCCTCTTTATAATTGATCTGTTCCTGACGGTGCCGTTTCACATTATGCAATCATATCTATCCATTGTACACTCACCTACAGCAGGAACTAGTGTAGAAGTCAGATGCCCAGTCATCTCTGGATCAGATTGCAGGAAGTGGCTGCTCGTCAGGATCAACAGAGCTGTCTCACGTTCTGTCTCTCTGCTCTAATACTCTGATTTTCCTTGTACAGGGAGTATAAAGATAATGCCACTCTGGCTCAGTTGCTTCAGGACAAACTGGACGCCTACAAGGCAGATGATCCCACAATGGGGGAGGTGAGCGGCACATCTCAGTTACTGCACTGCAGGGAGAGAGTTAATACATGTACATATGAATATGCTAGAACAAGGGGTACATGAGCAGGGGGAACATAAGCAGCTTTCAGCGGGTTCTTGGATAGATTTTTGATTTTGTTAAACCCATAAAACAGAAATTATGACTTCAGAATATCAGGGCTGTCAAAGAAATCAAGCATGAAACCAATATTCAATCTTCACCGTCCTGGTCTTATTGTGGACAAATCATTGCATTGGATTCATGTTAATCATAAAATGGCTTGTGCTAATCATGGAGCAATAGTAGCTTTTTAGATGTTTTATTTTTTATCTCTCTGCAGGGTCCAGACAAGGCTCGCTCTCAGCTCATTATTCTGGACCGAGGTTTCGACCCTGTCTCTCCTGTCTTGCACGAGCTCACCTTCCAGGCTATGGCCTATGACCTGCTGCCCATCGAGAATGATGTCTACAAGTGAGTGAAATAAATCAGTATTTAAACTTATTTTTAAAATAACATTTACTGGATTAAATGTTTATATTAATATATGATATTATATAATATAATATAAAACAATAGAAAATCATACTATTATACAAATTATAATACATATACTGTAATGTAAAATATTTCATAATACAATATAAAATAATAATTATAATACATGTATGTAAAATATTTCAAATGTATATAAATAAATATGATATACAGTCGTGGTCAGAATTATTGGCAGTGGCACCCTTGGTAAATATGATCAAAGAAGGCTGTGAAAATAAATCTGCATTGTTAATCATTTTGATCTTTTATTTTAAAAAATTCACAAATATCTAACCTTTCATTGAACTAAAACAATTGAAAATGGGGGAAAATCTCATGAAATGTTTTTTTTTTTCAAATACACGTTGGACATATGATATTTAAAAACTGAATTCTGCATTATGCATATGCATTTCAAAGGGATCATTAACAAATACTTTTGTTTGAACAAGGATTGACCAAGGATTGTTTAAACTTATTTTTAAATATTTATTATATAAAATTATTAAATGGTATCGTTTTATATAAATATAATATCATATAATACAATAATACAAAAATACATATATGTAAACTATTTAAAATGTATAAAATGTATATAAATGTATTTTTAAATAATATTTACTAAGTTAACTAATTATATTATTACATTATATTATAAATATATTATCATATAATAAAATATTAAATGACAATTAAAATACACATAATATTTAAAATATTTAAAAACAGAAAATGTGCATTATGCATATGAATTATTACAAAGGGATCATTAAATACTTTTATTAATTGACCATGGACAGTTATATATAATATAATATAAACATTTGTTTGATTTGTATCTGGTAGGTATGATACCAGTGGGATGGGAGACTCCCGCGAGAAGGAAGTGCTACTGCATGAAGACGATGACCTCTGGGTGGCACTACGGCACAAACATATTGCTGAGGTCTCACAGTGAGTAAAACCTTACATTTTTGGCCTTAAAGGGATAGTTTACCTTCAATTGCTGGTTCCCATTGACTTGCATAGTGTTTTTTTTTTTCTCATATAATGGAAGTCAATGGGGACCAGCAACTGAAGTTGAACTATCATTCTTCAAAATATCGGGGGGTTTTTTATGTTCCACATAAGAAAGCCAGTCATACATGTTTAGAATGACATGAGGCTGAACTCTTTACAATAAGTTTCCATTAGTTAGTGTTAGTTAATGTAGCCTATTAACTAACATGAACAATACATTTATTACAGTATTTATTCATCTTTCCGAATGTTAGTTAATGAGAATACAGTTGTTCACTGTTAGTTCATGTTAATTCTATGCATTACTATGGTAATGCATTTGTAAATGTTGAAATTAACATTAACTAAGATTAATAAATGCTGAAGTATTGTTTATTCGTTCATGTTAACTAAAGTAGTTAACTAATGTTAATTAATTAACCTTATTGTAATGTGTAACTAATATTAATATAAATTCTGTTAAATTTTATTGTTACTTTCAGTAAAAAGTATGTTGTGTTTTTTAAATTCAGTATCATTAAAATTGAGTTAAATTAAAAATCTTACAAAATTACTTTGTAATTATTATTTATTATTTTATTAAATAATACAAAGCAGTTTCGGTTTTCGGCCACGTGCATCCAGATTTTTCGGTGTCGGCCTAGAATTTTCATTTCGGTGCATCCCTAATATATAAATGGGGTTTAACGGTTCACAAAATTCACGGTTTGGTTCGATACGAGACGGTGGTGTCACGGTTCGTTATGTTTTCAATACTTAATTGCTTAATGCCGAGTTCACACTGCACGATTTTCAAAGACGTCGCATCACTGTTGGTTTCACACTGAACGACTATCTGGGGTAGCATTCAGTTGTTGCTGTGTTCACACTGCACGATGGAACGACGACAGGAGGTTACACACTGCATTACTTTACAATAGGAAGAATCGCCCGACAGCTCTGTCTGGTGCAGGGTTGCCAGGTTTTCGCTACAAAACCCGCCCAATTACTACTCAAAACTAGCTTGAAAATAGCCCAATTGCTTTTGAGAGTGTCCCCCAGTAAAAATCGCGTTCGGGGGGTAAAATACTAATTTTTTTGGCGGGGTTCTCCTGGTACAATTCACATTCCAGGGCCTAAATATCACCTTATTGGGGTCGCGCAATGTTGGAAATAACCATTTTTAAACCATGAAGGCAAGCCAATGGATATCACATAAGCAACATGCGAACTTTGCGCAAACGTCTTAATCTCAGTCAATTCACTATGCAGAAAGTGAAAGTAAAAAAGGAATGATGGAGCTTTCATCTCAGCCGCATATTATCTCAAAGACAACGAGAGACAAATTTACTTCAACATATGCTGATAACGGTATATAGCTGTTTTAATTTATTCCCTTAATATTTCTCTTGTGGCCCAAACATAGTGAAAAATGAGAAACTTATTTCATGTTAAACAGGTTGTTTTTGAAAGTCGGTGCTTGAAATAGGCTAAAGCTTTTTATTTAATTGATTTTATTGATGACTGCAGTGTTAATATTTTAATTATAGGCCTATAATTCATTGTATAATGACCTGTAAAAAAAAAAAAAAACATTTTAATTGAGGAGTGATTAGCCTAATCTTTCGTTATCCTCGCAGCGCGTCAGTTATGCGGTAATAATGTGGAGCAAATTAATTGTAATTTTAATTTAATAATAAAAGTAACTTAATAATAGGCCTAATAAAAATAAGAATGTAACAGGCCTACATTATTTGGAAATGTCAAATACTCTTAATATTGAAAATAATTGATGTTTTTGACTATCTCTGGCAATCTTCATTCAAGACCATTGTCTTTCGACTCACCCCAGCAAGGGGAGGTTATCACAGGGCAGACAGCACGTTGCCGGTTACGTCGTTTGGGCTGCCTTGTTGAGCGCAGTGGCACTGAGAACATTATATTTCACACACTTTAAGCTCTTTTATTTTTCAAATGTAATAGACCAACGAATCGTTTCGGTTTGTAATGCGTACCGAACGGAAAGCCTCGTACCGGACGGTTCAATACGAATACGTGTATCGTTAAACCCCTAATAAATCAAAAAGATTTAATAATTGCGAATGAAAAAAGTTTTGGTAAATAATATTTAATACAAATTTACTTACATATACATGCATATAAATATGAAAACAGAAAATGTACATTATCCACATGCATTATTACAAAAAGAGGAGCTAATACTTTTGTTAATCAGCCAAACATATTTATATAAAGTATAAAATGGCAAAACTTAAGCTGATTAATCACCCTTTCAAACATAATTATCTATCTATCTATCTATCTATCACACACATAATATTGTTAATTGTTGGCATAAAGATCCAGATTTAATTTTTTTTTCTTCTGATTTGATTAATTAATTTGACTGTAATAGGACTAAACAGTGTTAAAGTCATCCATCCCTCCATTTTCGGCTTCTAGTAGATAAAAAACATTTTTCATGGGCTGTTCATTCTGTTTCTATGGTGTAGGCTGAAAGCAACCAAAGTAAGAGGTGGTGGGGAGGGAAGTATAACACAGAAGCTGCTCGGAAAAGTTACCCACTAGGTCACGATTTATTTTCAATGAGGGGGTGAGCAGAGCAGAGAACAGGTGCAATGAAACTGCCAAAATGAGCGATCGAGTATGGAGTGCGTGTCTAAAAGCTGTGTGCCAAGAACACTACAAACTTGTCTATATCACCTTTACCAATAATTATCTATCTATCTATCTATCTATCTATCACACACATAATATTGTTAATTGTTGGCATAAAGATCCAGATTTCATTTTTTTTTCTTCTGATTTGATTAATTAATTTGACTGTAATAGGACTAAACAGTGTTAAAGTCATCCATCCCTCCATTTTCGGCTTCTAGTAGATAAAAAACATTTTTCATGGGCTGTTCATTCTGTTTCTATGGTGTAGGCTGAAAGCAACCAAAGTAAGAGGTGGTGGGGAGGGAAGTATAACACAGAAGCTGCTCGGAAAAGTTACCCACTAGGTCACGATTTATTTTCAATGAGGGGGTGAGCAGAGCAGAGAACAGGTGCAATGAAACTGCCAAAATGAGCGATCGAGTATGGAGTGCGTGTCTAAAAGCTGTGTGCCAAGAACACTACAAACTTGTCTATATCACCTTTACCAGGATCCACCACTGATTAAATTAATCTAACTATGATAATGGACAAACCATGGTTTCTGAAAGCATCATATCATTTTAGGTTTTATTGCTTCCAGTGTGCCAAGCATAATTTATGACGTGTGCTCTGTCACCCGGCAGGATCTCGCTATGGGAACAGACGCAGAGGGCGAAAAGATTAAAGACCCCATGAGGGCCATTGTGCCAATCTTGCTGGACGCCAACGTCAGCACCTACGACAAGATCCGCATCATCCTGCTTTACATTTTCCTCAAGAATGGTAAGAGAGCCTTTGGCAGCCATTTTATACCTCAGTTTGTTTCTCACTGCCCTGATCAGCCATTTTGTAACATGTGTGTTCCTGTGTTGCAAAACAGGGATCACGGAGGAGAACCTTAACAAGCTGATTCAACATGCCCAGATCCCTCCTGAGGACAGTGAGATCATCACCAATATGGCTCATCTGGGTGTCCCAATCATCACGGATGTACGCTGTCTGATTTGCGTCCTAAGCAATGATTACGTTTCCGTGGCTGTTAAAGCAGTTTCTCTGACCTGCCATTTTGTTTCTGTATGCTGCAGTCTACTCTCCGCAGAGGCAAGAAGCTCGATCGTAAGGAGCGTGTGAGCGAGCAGACATACCAGCTTTCTCGCTGGACCCCACTCATCAAGGACATCATGGAGGTCAGTCCTCATTTATAGAATTTGACAGTAAGGCCCTTTCCCCCTACCCCTCCGTTTTGCGCGTTCACGTGAAGGGGTAGGGGTGTCTCGATTATCTTTTGGTTGGAGGGGTAGGGGTAAGGTGAAGGGCCAGACAGCCCTTCAAACGAAGATTTTTCGGGACCACACTTCAAACGAAGGGGTATGAATTATCTCAGCGTAAACCGGCTTCAGCGGCCGGCAACATGGCTGCCCGAGCGAACAAAAAGACACATATGTAAGCATTTTTTGGCATTAATAACGATTTTAACGAAAAGTAATCATTTGTTTTATGTTACTTTCAATTGTAAGTAATTCAAAGAAATGTTTGCAAAAAATCGCTAAAGTTGGCTAACGTCATATCATTACAGACTGCACGATAGTGCCACAACATATTTTCATGTCTGATCAGGGAGATAACCAACGTAGACATTGAGGGGGGCTAGTCCGCCCAATAATTAGAAATCGCTAAACCCTTTTCTCAAATATTGCCAATTCGAGAGCGAGAGAGAGACAGAGAGAGAGAGATGAAAGTTGCGTGTATGCGCGTCTGTGCGTTTCTCTTTTTAGAGTGAGTTTACTTCAAAAACAGCGATTTTTTTTATCCTCTTGTTGCTGGAAAATATAATGTAGCGATTCAGTATTTAAACCGTTATTAATAAAAGTCGTGGGGCAGCGTTGACAAGTATCTTAGCCCCTGGATGTGTGAGCTGCGCGATCTCTGATATGTATGTATGTGTGTGTGTGTGTGTGTGTGTGTGTGTCAGTAAGCAGCGCATTCATATAGAATGGTAATTAAAGGCTCTAATGCACACCAGCACACCAGTATAGGTGTGTGTATTGTAGGAGCTAGACGACGTATGAGGACGTGTGACGGCATAGTAGTGGTGTCCCAATTCTTAGGGGAATATTTTCACCCCTACCCCTTGACACTCTGTTTCAAGGGACAAGGGGGAGGGGAAGGGGTATAAAATAGAATTGGGATTGGGCCTAACTGTGTGTAGATTGTGTGTAAATGTGTGGTCTTACTTTGCTTGTGAATGTTGTTGCAGGATGTTATCGAAGACAAGCTGGACACCAAACATTATCCGTACATCTCAACACGCTCGTCCTCTTCCTTCAGCACTTCTGCAGTCAGGTACACACACTCACTCACCGATTCTGATTTTTAGGCTCCCTTTCAAATAATGAGGAATTTGAATTGGCCACTCCTACAGGATGTTCAAATGGAATGACAGGAAGAGGAATTTACTAAACTGCAAAAAAGTTAAGCAAATTATGAATAAAATGAGCAAGAAATTATTTTCAGGTGCTTTGTTGCTTGGCTCTATTTTGAAGACTTAATAAATTAGAGATATATTAGAGCATTCTGGGTTCTTTTACCATGTTTCATAAAATAAGTTAAAAAAACAAAAAAGTTATTTTTTATTGACAGATACCTAAATAAAATCGAAATGTATAATATTTGGCATTTTATAATTAAAAATATATGATAAAAAAATCATAGTAAAATAATAAAAATACATTTATACATATTTAATCATCTAATGTTTCTGGTATTACCTTATATGATGTATATATTGTTTATGATGTTTATAGATAATTCCATTTGAAAATGTGTTAATCAGACAAACATAGTTATATCTTAATTTTATTGTTGTACAATAAGGTTCAACATTAGATAACAACATTAGATATCAGACTAACAATAAAAATAATTCTAAAGCATTTATTAATCTTAGTTAAATGTTAATTTCAACATTTACTTATACATAATTAAACTTGTTAATATTATGTAACTGTTGTATTTTTATTAACTAACCTTAACAAAGATGAATAAATTCTGTAACAAATGTATTGCTCATTGTTAGTTAATGCACTAACTAATGGGACCCTACTGTAAAATATTACTTTTATTATTTTATCCATTTTAAAACCAAGAAAATTAAATTAATAATTTGAAATGAATAAAAACTACACAGCAGTTATTTTATTTCCTTTAAATATCCAATACACTTCCTTAAATTGAAATTTATTAGAATTTCAAAGGCAACTTTGACACACACTAAAACCCTAATACACAGGTGTATACATGCATTTTTGTATTGCACAATTCAAAAGATAGAAGCAGCTTGGATCAATAATCATTTGTGCACTGAGGGGAGGGGAGAACATTGAGATCAATACCTCGATTGGTGGGTGGTGCGATGTGAGGTGGGGGTGAACACTAAGTCTCTTTCAGAAGCGGTGGAAACTGGGATATTTCCTCAGGGTCAGCAGTAATGATCCCGCCGCACTGTTCTGCTTTCAGGACAAACAAACCAGCACAGCTCTTGTAAACAGTAGCAGAGGCAAAGCAGGACAACCCTGACTCCCACAGAGGGAGAACTGGGATCTGATGGGTCCCATTGCGTAGCTATTGATTAGACTAGAGATCACCAGTTTACACGCCGCTTTCCCCTCTCATTATGCTGGCAAATAACTCTGTCGTTCCTTAAAGGGAAAGTTCATCCAAAAATGAAAATTCTGCCATTATTTACTCACCCTCAAGTTGTTCCAAACCTGTATGAATTTCTTTCTTCTGTTGAACACAAAAGAAGATATTTTGAAGAATGTTGGTAGCTGATAGCAATTGACTATGGAAGTCAATGGCTACCAGAGTAAATTATGAAAAAAATCAATGTTTTTGCCTGTAGTGTCTAGTCTTCAGTTGCCAAGTGAGGAAAGATATTGAGTAAAACAGTGCAGTATCTAACAAATACCTTCAAATGACTGGTTTGAAAAAGAAACTGTACCTTGAAGTTGACATGCATTCATGTGTTCTTTCCATGGCAGTGCCCGATATGGCCACTGGCACAAGAATAAAACCCCTGGAGAGTACCGTACGGGCCCTCGCATCATGGTCTTCATTATTGGGGGCGCGTCCTTTAGCGAGATGCGCTGTGCCTATGAGGTCTCACAGGCTAATGGCAAATGGGAGGCCATCGTTGGTGAGTCTGCAGAGGGTACTGCTAAAAGTCACTATAAATTAAGCAACCACCCTTTAAAGCTTTAGACTGATATCTTTATATTTAACTATACATGTGTTTTTGTCGTATAATATGTGTAATCAGACTGGCAAAGTCTTGTATATTTTTCCTGTGCTCTTGTCTTGTACGGTATTTTGTGCCTGTCATGTTTTAACTGCTTTTAAATTGCAGTCGTGAGCCTCTGATGTGTTCATAAGTCTATGTTCGTAAGTTCTTCTTTGTGTGTGTCTTGTGTGCGTGTGATAAGGTTTATGTTTAAGATCTGCACTTGTTTAGAATTGTCTTTTAAACGTACTTTTAAGCCCTATGGCAGCCAAAACGAGTAGGTGTTCACACGGCTCTTAAAGAAATGGTTGACCCAAAAATGTAAATTTGCTTAAAATGTACTTATCCTCAGGCCGTCCAAGAGTGTTCATCAGAACAGATTTGTAGAAATTTGGCATTACATCACTTGCCCACCAATGGATCTTCTGCAGTGAATGGGTGCCGTCAGAATGAGAGTACAATCCGCTGATAAAAACATCACAATCCACAAGTAATCCACACCACTCCAGTCAATCAATTAATGTCTTATGAAGTGAAAAGCTGCATGTTTGTAAGAAACAAATCCATTATTAAGACATTTTCAAAATGTCTTGAAGATTGTGATGCTTTCATCAGCTGTTTGGACTCTAATTCTGACGGCACCCATTCACTGCAGAGGATCCATTGGTGAGCAAGTGATGCAATGATAAATTTCTCCAAATATACATCTTAAATGGCCTGAGGGTGAGCAATTTTTCATTTTTGGGTAAACTATTGTGAGTTCTCATTAAAATTATTGACTTTTGGTAACTGCAAATTACCGTCAGTGTGAACGGCCCTTTAGAAGTGAATTTTAAAGTACGGTATCAGTCTGTTGTTTTCCAGAAGAAATTTGAGCATTGAAGATTTTACATTAACGCTGAATTTCTAATTGGTGGAATTGGGCGACTTGCACAATTTTGTCCAAGCATGAGGTCTATTAGAGATGGACAATGCATCTGAAGGACCTCCATGGGACAATTGGCTGTACTTCTATTGATCAACATTTGTGGAATTAGTATTTTTAGTTGATTGAAAGAGGCCTAATATTTATGGAGTCTTCCATCACTGATACGTCCACCCAGATCTTCCAAAAATCATTTTTTGTCGGGGTTCTAGGATGATATTTCTGAAACCTCAAGATCTACAGATGGTGGAAATGGTATTTAACCCTCTTTTGTCCCCATAAAGATTAACGGTGGTGAAAGAACGTGAGGTGCAGTGTGAGATTCATTCTGAGCGTGAAGCCACCTTTGTTCCTCCGCAGGTTCTACTCACACGCTCACCCCAACCAAATTTCTAATGGACCTGCGGCACCCCGACTTCCGAGAATCCACTAGGGTGTCCTTTGAGGACCCTGACCCCTCAGACGAGTGAGAGAGAGAAAAAGGGAAGGGTGGGAGAGAAATCACACTCTGACAAAGTAAAGGCAGCTGAACAAAGAAACCCTTTCTGAACCCCCACAGCACAAGGGCTTTCTTTTCTTGCTCCTGTTACCACACTCTACCGTTTTACTACGCCACCACGCCTCAGGGATGGGTGTCCGGCTCCTGCCTCCGATCTGCAAGTCTCACTCAGGCTCCGCCTTCTACTGGGACCAGCCAATATTGATCTGCTGAATGCTTCATTCAGAACTGCAGTGGGCGGAGCCTTTTTTTGAGTGACAGATGCAGTAGGAGTCCTGACCCCATCCCTGTTGACCGCATCCTCTCAGTTGGGTGGATTAAACTGCATTCTCCTCACTATGCGCCTTTTAATTCAATGGTGTCTCCTCTTCCAACGAGGAAGGGCTTCCTCCATTTGCCCTCCCAAATATCATTAATTTTTAAAGCTTCATTTTCCAGCAGATTTAATCTACCCTTAAGACTCACCATATTCCGATTATTTCTGAATAACAATCCAAGACAATCATTCATATTAACTTTGTTTTTCCCACCTCTGGAGAGGTAATTGATGCCAATTGCAGGATAATTTGTTTTTGTTTTTAATCTAGTTCCTCAAACTACCTCACATCACGTCTACATGACCAAGTGGCCGTCTGCAAAGAATATATGTTAAAATGACTTCCGCCAGACAGCGACTGGCTCTTTTCCTTTATAATTCTTCTGCAGATGCCAAAACTTGAAATGTAGCTGTGTTCTTCAGATATGCTTTAGCACTAACGCTTTTCCCCAACACTAACATTTTGAAACTAACTAGTTTGGGCCCTGCCTATGTCATTTTTCAGAAACCTTCATGTTATGCCTCAGGTGCTGTTTTTTGCATTAAAAATAACTTGCTATACTATTAATCCGCTCATGGTAATCTATCAATGCAATTTGTGGTTCATAACTGGTACTTAAAAAAAAAAAAAAAAGAGTATGTTTTGAACAAGCTTAGCAACACTTTATATTACAACACTGCAATTCCTGTGCATGCTTGTGGTTACATTAAATATTATGAATTTAAAACATACTATTAGTTATCTTTGCTCTTAAAGGAATGTTCTGGGTTAAATACAAGTTTATGACATGCTCTTAATTACCACAGGAAATCATTTGAACTCATTTGGAAGAACTTTTTTTTTTTTTTTCCATTTGGAAGAACTTGCTAAACTCGCGTTTGCAGTAATGCTCTTAAAATGGAAGTCTATAGGGCATTACATTGTAATAATAATCAAATACAGTACGCACAGTTCTGAAAGTACAACCATAAGACTTAAACATTATATGTATACCTTGTCTGTGTAAGCTTATATACAATATTTTATTTCCTTATTTTAGTCTTTTAAACCCTTTGGAATACCTTACCCCATAGACTTCAATTGAAAATGCATTACAGCATAATTTTGTCAAGGTTTTGACAAACAAATGGACGAGTCAAATTGTTTTCTGTGGTAATCATAGATGCTGTTGATAGAGGTGAACTTGTATTGAACCCGGAATATTCCTTTAACCCAGCTACGAGCTTCTCCAAAGCATTACACAGAGTAGATAACATTTATAAGCCAACAAATGCACACAAATGAGGTCCTGTAATACAAAGTGTCCTTTCAAAAACCTTTACTGACTAAACCATTGTACAAGAACGATCATTGCTTAACCCTATCAAGTATCCATCACTCAAGTGTCAGGCTGCTAAAGCTATATCCCTTTTGATTTCCCCTTTTTCTGTTGGTTTTTCGTGTTCGTAAATGATCACACCATATGCAGTATGCCAGTCCTAACCCATACTGCAACATGAAACACTTCTTGACTGTTCCAGCCATTATTGAACAATAATATGGTTTGTTTTCATGGATCTTTAGTTTAGACCCGCTCATCTAGTTGAAGAGCTACAAATCACATTGTGAATTCTGATTAGCGATTAGCAAAACTGCTTGTTTGCATTTACTTGGCCTAGAAGATTATATCAGCTGTGGTCAGAACCAGGCAATTTAGTTGTATGCTCAAAGCTGAGCATGTAACTACACATTCAGTTCTACTCGTTCAGCTATGTAAGATTAATTTGCCTCTTTCTGTAGGCAACCCTCACTGGTTGTTAAGTGAATGTGACCCTCATTATCAAGCGTTTTTTAATCACTTGATCTTTTTATTGCATTACAAGTAGTGGGAACATGCAGCTTTGCTAAAATAGGCATTTGTTCCATAGGGCACCAAAAATAAAAAAATATTTCAGTGCATACCCATGTTTTTATGTTTTAGATGACCCTGTGGCACAAATGTTTTTGGATAGTTTGAATGTACAGTATTTGTGATGTGTTAGAATTGTGTCTTCAGCTAAATATCTAATCAAATTTAAATGTTTCCTTATTTTGCGATTTTTAATTTTTAGATTCAAAACAAAATCTTGATAAATCAATATTATGTGCATATACTATACCATTCAAAAGGGTTGGTAAGATTTTTTAATGTTTTTGAAAGTACCTTATGCTCACCAGGGCTGGATTTATTGATTAAAACTAAAGTAAAAACAGTAATATTGTGAAATATTACTATTTTAAATAATGGTTTTCTATTTTAATATATTTTAAAATGTAATTTATTCCTGTGATGGCAAAGCCTCATTTATTACTCCAGTCTTCAGTGTCACACGATCCTTCAGAAATCATTCTAATATGCTGATTTGCATGTGCAAGTAACATTTCGGATTATTATCACAGTTAGAAAAAGGTTGTGCAGCTTAATATTCTTGTGGACACCATGATATAGATATATATATATATATATTATATATAGTCTTTACTCTCACTTTATCAATTTAATGTGTCCTTGCTGAATACATTTTTTAAAAATAATTTAAAAAATCTTTCACTTGACACTTGACTTTTGAACAGTAATGTGTATATAATGTATATGTGTATATATATATATTCATTACCATTAATAGTATTATATATTTTCTATAATATTATAGATAGATAGATACACAGCTGAAAACACATTTTATAGTTAATCTCAGTATAAGTATAAATTTAATGAGTTTTCTCTTTGTTTCTCTCCTCGGTGCTCATCTACGCAGGTTCGACCCATATCACCGGCCCCACCCCGCTTCTGGACGCCCTCAAGGCCATGAACAAACCCGACGAGGAGCAGACAAGCTAAAATCACAACTTCCTTCCCCCCAACCCCATCGCCCAGTTACCCTCTCCCTCCCTTCATCCGTCGCCATGTAAATCACACCCGCTCCTATATAAATTGTGTATGCATCTTGCTTGAGAGAAAATTACAAATAAATAGATGATTGGTGACAAGTTAAAAAGAATATTCTATAAATTTATATATATAATGTTGAAATAAAAGAATCATTGCAAGTATTCTTCTGTTTTACAATGGATGCAAATGATTAGACTGTCAAACTGAGTTTTCGTTTTGCCATTTAAAACTCTGAAAGTACCAAATGTAATATTGTATGTCATGGAACCTGCTAGAATGCGTAAATGGTAGATCACTTTTTGCGTTTGTTCCTTATTTAACTTGGTGTTTTTTTTTTTAATGGTTTAAAAGTGGTTGGGGGAGGGACTGGTTTGTATGCAAATAGACCAGTGAGGCAAAATGATGCATATCACTTCCTACACTGAAGGCTAAACTGCCACCCAGTTTAGATGCTTGGGTTTAATTGTTGTCTCATTTTAGATTTGCATGCCATGGATGCTACTATGTGGCCCTTTTGACATGTTTTAAAATGCTGGAAAAAAAGTAAAAAATAATATAAAAAACATGTGTAAAAATGAAACAATGAGCATCTTCTGGGACACCAGTGATGAAGAGGAAGGAGGCCAAAGGAGTAACGGATCAAAGCCTCAAGCTGTAAAAGTGAAAGAGACACTGTACATAGATAGCGGATGTCACCCCTCCTTCAGTCGCGATTCCGGAAGCATTTACTCCATCTCCTTTTCTTTTCACGTCTCCTTCTACAGAGACCTCATGATTTAGTGTGAAGAAGGCCGTTGCTTGCAGATGTTTAAGGAATTCAAAAAAAGGGCCAGTTGTATTTCAGTATTGTATCTCGTCCGATTAAGTCTTATCATTGGTTAGTAAACAATGTTTAACTGGGACATGCACTGAGTAGCGTGTTGTTGTATGCCATATGTTACTGTTTTTTCGTCTCACTGTTGACTGGTGAAAATTTCTGACTGTGAAGTAGTAAAACTTTCCTTTGCCAATGTGAAGCCACTGTGTTTGTGACGTATTAGCTGTAGCTGTAGTGATAAACTGGGAAAAAATAGGTAATATCTATCTTTCGTTTGTCCGTCTGATAGTTTCTTTCTGGTGCAATGTTATATCTTCCACTGGTGAATGGCTTTGCAATGAAACGCAACACCCCTTTTTAATGTTTCGGTTTCAGTTTCCTCTTTACTCTGTTCTGGCAGAAAGGTTGTATATTGCACTACGCGTTTTCTGTGATGCAAACGCTTCTATGGTTCGCTCTCTTTTAAATTATTACCTTAATTTGGGTTTGCTGTTGTATATCTGTGTCGACTGGATTGATTTCTATTCAATTTATTTTTCAGAGAATATCAATAAATAAGAACGTAGTCCGTCCTAAACCTGTTGATCTTACTGGGATTCTATGTTTGCGAGTGTTGAAGCACAAACTTAAGTATACTTCATGTGTACCGATGTACTAAGGCTGTCTAATAAATTGGCTTCCATTACAAATATGCAATCAGTACATTTTTGGGACGTGCTCTGTACATGATTTCCTCTGGACTGCAATAGTCTCCTTTTTTCTTGTATGAACAAAATTACATTGATTTGTATGGTAATGCATGATTTATAACAGGGTTCCAAACCAGTTTGAACACTGAATTGATCAGTTTTTTTAATATTATGCAGATGATTAAATACATATTTAATAATTCCAGACCAGGAAATGGCTGCCTGTTATTTGCAGCTTTTCCATGATCGTGCATAGGAACCCTGTTATATCAAATTAATATTGTTGTGGACTGTTTGATTAGCCACTAACCTTGATCACTGGTTTCTGACTACGTGATATACTAGCTGGCTCTCAACACAGATTTGCAGCTACAGGAAGGTCAAGAGAAGGTCCAGTCCTTTATCTTGAGAAAAATGAATCTTGGTGAAATAGCTGTAAGGAAACATGGCAACATCACACACCTTGTCAAATATTATAGAAACATTTATAGTAGTAAATATAGTATAAAAGTACAGCTCAATAAATACAAAACACATGACAGAAACATTATAATTCATTAAATTTGCCTAACTAGGTGATGCCCAAAATAATCAATATTGCATAACCTATAAAAACTTACACTAATAACTATTCCGTTTTTGTTTCCACAAAGTGAAATGCATGCTGGTCTTTTCACACTGACCTCAATGCTGCTACAGACTCTTCTAGGACTCTATATACTCCACTCAATCAAATTGCTTTTTTTGACTGTGGGGTAGAAAACCATGTCACACATGCCTTTACATTAAAAAGGTTATGCCGTTTGGAAATTCTAGGTAAACAAATACAGCACAAAAGTATGGTAATATAAATAAAAACTCTAGAGTAGCACTATACCCATTTTCTCCCTATTAGAAAAAAATAATCTGTCACTTACAGATTAATAAACAAAACCGGTTCACCATCACACTGTGAAAGTACACATAAATCTGCTACATTATTTGGATTTTCCAGAAAAAGGTGTACTACAGTGGACCCAAAAGTATTTGGACATTTAAACCACACTTAAACATGCATTAATGTCTTGGCATTATGTAACAAAAAACAGACAACTGACTCTCCAAAACAAATGCTTTTAGTGGATATATGAAGTCCTCGAATTCACACAGGTGCCCTAGCATAGTGTATTTCATCACAGCTATAAACATGTTCTAAAGTAAACTCCATTTTGAACAGTATATTTATGTTTTTTTAAACCTAAAAAACATTTTACCTACAATGTTAAAAATATATATATATATTTCTCGCTTTATAATGCAATTCCATGCATACATCTTTAAGTGTGGCCTAAGATTGGCCTAATATTTTTAGGGGTCACTGAATGTACAAACGTGGAATGTTTAAGCTGCCATAATGCAGCTATCAGCTCTAACAGTAGCTACAGCACACCTGAGACATCTCACATTTTCCACTGCAGAGTTGCATGTCTGCATCAGTCACACCACTACGAGAAAAACAATTGTTTTTGTAAACTAATAAAAATGAATAAATGTCGCTTTGGATAAAAGCGTCTGCTAAATGAACAGATGTAAACGCTGATGTCAGTAGGTGCAGGATGAGGTGAGGAAGCTACTGCTGTGCAGTCCTGAGGCCAGAGAGTGAGCCATGCGATGCGAGACCTCTCTCATGTTTTTAGCTGCGGTGATGGCATGGGTCAGAGAGCTGTCTAGAGTGTGCTGCTGATGGTCCAAAGAGACCGATCGTCTGCGATGACCTCTGACCCCTGGCCTCTCATCTCTGACGGGACTGACTGAGATGTTAAAGGGTTGTGAGTAGGCCTGTGACGTCACAGGACCGGAGAAGTAACTGTGGGAAAAGGACACAGAATGCTCAGTCTGATGTGGACAGTGACACCAGAGGAGTTAGTTGTATGTTACTTAAAACTAATTGTTAAAAAAAATTGTTCAATCAGTTTAAATTAAAGAAATATACAATAATTATATAAATAGTATTATGTAATATAAATATTATATAAATATATAATATTTATACTACCGTTCAAAAGATCAGGGTAAGATTTTTTTTTTTTAAGAAATTAACTTTTATTCAGCAAGACAGTATAGTGATAGAAAAAAAAATTACAAAAATTTTTATTGGCTTGTAATGCACCACACAATGGGCAATGGCTGCAGGAAGGCTGTGAGAGATGTGGAGAGCTCCAACTCCTCACTGGACCTTTAATTAATAGTGTAAAGTCAGGAGGATAATTTATAAAATGTAAGCTCAGTAAATTTTAAACCCAATTATCATGATGGAGGTAAGATGCTTACGTGTCAAGGAACCAGTGCGGTCTGACATGCAATGTGGGCAGGCAGGTTCTGGTCCTCGGCTTGATTCGGTTCCATCTCTATTGTCGGATCTGCCTGCTGATGTTTAATTAAAATGACCACAATGTGTTCATGATCATCATATGAAAACTGGTCATTTATGTTGAATTATGAGGTCTTTTCTTACATGTACTGTCCTCTTTGTGACGTCCAAATCCTCTGGTTTGTCCTCTTCCTCGTGATGTCATAGGGGACATCAGGACATGTCTTAAAGTTGATGGTCGTGGCTCAGATTGGACAAGCTCCGAATTAGTCGCTAGAGGGTTAATAAGACACATGGTGAAAAAGTAATTACAGATTCAAACAACCAATATTGCATATAAGTGTGATTTAGGACCGTTAAGAAAATCTGTTTGCCTCGTTATGTATTCTACTGTAACTTCGAAAGATTAACATGGAGCTAAACGTACTTGGATCAGTTTGAGGCCGATGTCGAGGTAAAGATGCGGATCTTGGCGAGTTTCCTCTCTCTTGTTCTCCATTCCTCCCTCTCTCTTTCTGCTGCCTTCTCCTGTCTGAAGACCTAATAAATAAGGAACATAATAAAATCACTTTTATGAATTAAAAGTTTTAGGTAACACACATCATTTTGGACAGTCTAAGATCATAGATTTCCGGTACCTTGTGGTCTGTGGGGAAGCCTGATCCCTGGTATCTTCTATGGCAGAAGTGGGCGCTCTGACAGGACTGGTAGGTTTGGAGAGTCTCAGATTTCCCTCTAGTCTCTCTTTCAGTTGGTTCACTTCTTGCTGTAGAGATCGAAGAGCCTCTCTGAAACACATAAACAGCATATAAAAGGCATTTTTTGGAATCTGAAGAAAGAAAATGGATGTAATTAAAATCAGATTTTTTTAAAATGTCTATCTGGAAGTCAGTTCTGGCTTTTTCATGCGATTAGTTGTTTATACATGAGGTGTTGCAACAAAGGAAAAACAACAGGGTATTTTAAGTGTGGGTTTATGGGTACACTACAATTTTTTTTTAAACACTGAATTGATCAAGTGACAGTAAAGATATTTTATAATAGATAATGTTATAAAATTTATTTTTTAAATACATGCCGTTTTTGAACTTTCTGTAAGTCAAAGAATCCTGAAAAAAGTATATCACGTTTCCACCAAAATATTAATCTGCTCTACTGTTCTCAACATTAATAATAATCAGAAATGTTTCTTAAGCACCAAAATAGGCTTTTTAGAATGATTTCAGAAAGATCATGTGACACAGAAGACTGGAGTAAAGGCTGGAAAAAAATTCAGATTTGTCAACACAGAAATAAATGACATTTTTAATTTATTTAAAAATGGAATAATTTTGAGCGTAAAAAACACAGAGCGAGCTAGCAACTTAGCAAGCCGAGTCCTCTTCAAAAGTCCCAAGTCATGTTTTGCTTCTCTGTTAGAGTTAAGATCAAAACAGGGTTTAGAAATAACCATTCCAGTGTGGACCAAAAAGAGCGTTACAGGCACTGCTAGAAGTGGTGGGTGTGTGGATGTGGGTAGGTGAATATTTTAATCATCAAATACACACAGAGGGTTACGGTTTTATTAATAGCTAATGGTGATTAATGCTGGTCTCTTGATGCGGAGCTGAATACATACCAGTGCACTCTTCAGCTAGTCTATTTGACAGACAAACTCCTGCTGAATCACAGAAAGGAAAGAATGAAAAATAAATCTAATTATCCAGATGGAACTCTGGCTGCCGTGAAGTGAAAAATGATTTCATAGAGACCACTTAATACCACTGGAGTTTTTCCCAGAACTCCTTTACAGTAAAGCCCTGGCTCAAAAGAGCAGCCATAAATCTCTGCTTGTTTGTGCTGCAGTGGCCATGTCAGACTTTTGGAAACTCACTGCTGATTTGTTAGCTGAACAGAACTTTGGGCTTCCAGGTGGTCACCGTGGTGATAAGGCACATGGAGGGAAGGGCTTCTGTGAGAGCGGAGTTGCTGATTGGCTGGTTGTGGGTACTGGCCATCCTGTGATTTCTCATCCCCTGATAAGAAACGGACTGAGGAAAGAAGAGTATAAGCAGGATGCAGAGAGAGAAAAAGGATGACAAGAGAAATTCAGGACCAGTATTAATGATGGGTTTAAACATCAGCATTATTCAAGACAAGATATTTTTATGGTTGGTTGGTGTTTTATTGCCATGCCAGCTTCCTTGGCTATTTCTATGGCAAGTAGCCATAAATACCATGAAATATTATGAAAGAGCAAAAAAAAAAAAAAAAATGCTCTAAATGATTCAGGGTTGAATTTTCAAAAGCGTTTCATTTTGTTATGTATATATATAGATACTAAATGTATATATATATAGACAATAGGACGCAAGTTAACATTAACTTAAATCTGGATTAATTAAAAAGAAAACAATTATTAACTAATGTTGATATATTTCCAATTTTATGTATTATTTTTATTATTCATTTTATTTATTATTTTAGGTTAATGTTATTTTATATACTATTGTTGATTGTTCATTTAGATTAAAAATAAATTATGTTAATTTATCAAGCCTGAAATGTTTAATTGTTTTAGTATTGTATATTAAGAAATTAACATTAGGTTAATAAATGCTGTAAAGCATGTGATATTATTATTTAGTTAGTTCAAGATACTCATGATTGCATTGCCTACTGATTACAAATTGAATCTTATTGTAAGGTCTTACCAGTTATTATATTATTATTGTGTCTTCTGTATACAATTTTTTTTACATGCTTTTTGTGTGAAATGTCAAACCTACACCCACCCTGATCACTCCCATGCTCTGATTGGCTGGTCAGGCTGCTCGGCCAGGGCAGGAGGGTGCTATTGGGCCAATGAATGGGGGATAATGAGGGAGTAAGGCTGGAAGAAGAACACATTTCCTCCCCTCTTCTTCTCCTAACAGGACCCGTGCATCCTTCAGACTTGGTGAGGTGTTCTCCTTGGGTATTTGGAGAGGGTTGTGATTGAGAGGGGGAGACGGCAAAAGGCTGTCTAGCAGGAGGAGCAGACTCTGGTCTTTCTGTGTTCGTACGCGGGCCAGACGGCCCGATGGAACTGGAGAAGACATCAAAAAGAGGAGAATATAAAGGTGTATAAATTCCCTAAGACAGCAAAGACAAACAGATTTTTATATTTTCTGAAAAATTTATGGTTTTTGTTGATCTTGTCTCCCATTTTATCATCAGGTGGAAAATTGTAAGTTTCATACATAAAGCACATCCCTCCTCAATGAGCCGTAAGATTTGAGGTATCAGGCACAAATAGTGCAGGATGAGTCCCTAACCATAAGTATGAGCAGAAGCACCTCTAGCACATTATATTTCAGTGGTTTCTTATTTAAAGGGGTCATATGATGCGATTTCAAGTTTTCCTTTCTCTTTGGAGTGCTGATCAAATTCAAAGTGCTTTATAAAGTGAAGGTGCGTCATACCTCGCCACTGCCCTCTGCTGGAGAGGACTGTGTACTGCAGGAGTGAGCTGACTCTCAGAGCCCATAAAGCCACTGTCTGTCTCTGGAGACTTAACCCAATCCTACAGTGTTAAAAATACAAGTAAGAACTCTACTAAAATAATATTAAAAGTATTATTCATGCACATAAAGAAATAATCCTTTAGATATGATATATAGTGTTGTTCATCACAAATAAAGCAGTCACTGACCAGAGGGGATGCTCTGACAGTCTTAGCCTTTGCTTTTAAACCCATAGTTCTGGGTTCTGTGCTCTCTGCCAGGCTGGTCAGGCTACTGCTTTGAGTTTTCCTGTTTCCTGCTGTTTTCCTTTCCCTGCCCGGTTGCCCTGGCAACACCGAGGAGTGGCAAAGAGCCTCTAGGTGAGTTTCCATAGAGTCACACACCTGTGACCTGACAGATGGGCCGGAGGGAGGGACACAATCTGCTGCTGCGTGCCTAAAGAAAGAGAGAATGGAGAGATGAATGAGAGCGCAAACAGCCAGGTGTTGATAATGGTGGAGTGGACTGAACTGCTGGCACCCTCAATTACCTTATTAAACCTGATAACAACATATAGCTGATGTTTAGATCACAAACACAGAAATATCATTATGATGTCTGTGACAACTAACTTTCTATCACAGAATTAGAATAAGCTGGTAGAATGTTAATACGAAGAGGAGTTTCTAAACAGTGTTATAAACTAAAACTGGTGCGTTCACTGAAATAAAATAATAATAATAAAATAAATGTCAACTAAAACAAAATAGAAAAAAATATTTTGCTTTATTTCAGTTAGTTGCCAAAGGAACATTTATACATTTAGTTTAGTTTAAGATGGTCCTAAAATTACTTGAAACTGAAAATAACTACTCTAAACCTGAAATAAAAAAATTAAAAAAAACACTGAATAAAAAATGTGATAATAAAATAAATAAGAAAACAAAATATATAACTTATTTTATGAATAAAAATTGTTAATACTAAAATAAAAATAAAATAAAATAAATGGAAATAAATACTACAATACTATATTAACAATAATAAAATAACACTGTTTCAAAATGGGCAGGGCTTATCAGCCAAGATGTTGTCTCTAGTAAGGTACAATCATTCTTATCTATGATAAGTGTCATTTCTCTCAAGGTTTGTTAGTATGGCCCAATCACAGTGATGATTAAATAATGAAATTGTTCACAGATTACTGGAGAAGATCAGGCACTCACAAACATTATTCCTCTCTTCTCTGACATATTGCTAACATACCTAATGTTCACTCATCCTATTCTTTACTGCCTTAAGTTGCCAACCATTCACTAAACTAAACATTTGTAAAGCTGATGTAAAATAGGCTCATGACTCACTGCTGAGCAGATGTCATCGTCTTTTTCTCATTAAAAATCCTGTGTTGTTGTCTGTCCGTTATACTTGTATTCCCAAGAGAAGCAGAGTCTCCAAAATCCAGCAAGTCATGGCTCTTTAAAGTCACAGCTGGGTCCAGCATCCCAGGCAGCTCTTTAAAACTCTGATAGCTGGGTATAAAAACAACAAGAGACTGAGCTTGACATGTAAAGCTGTTTGTTCTTACATATGCTGGTCAATGGTCACTCACCAGTCCATGAGCTTACTGAAGTCTCTCTCCACTCGCTGGTGTTTGACATGGAGGGGATGAAGAATAAATGGGAGGATCTCTTCTTCCTCCTCTCTGTCTGCATCACTCTCTCCGCTAACTGAACTAACCTCCACACCAACACAAGCCTCAGGATGGACAGCAGACAGTGGGCTCTGAGAAAGAGGGAAGGGAGAAATCAGTACACTTCTGTTCTTTAGATCTGTGAGGTCAAAGGTTAGTGAGGTGTGGAGGTTAAGTCTGAGGACCTCAGGCAGCGGTTCGGTCTCCAGCATGGACACACAGAGCACATCTGAAGGAGGCAGAGGGTTTAAAGTAGGTTCAGAAATGGGTTTGTTCTGTTCTGCTTGCTCCAGCCACTCCTTCAGCTCCTCCAATCGCATCCCTGACCTGAAGATCTGACCTTCTAGGTCCCTGTGTCACACACAAACACACAGTATGAATAGAAGTACTACAAACCAGCAGCACAGGAAGTGCACAGGAAACACAGCTTTGTCAATATTTGCATCAGCAACAAAATACAACAATCTTGTGACATTATAAATGTCTTTGTCACTTAAAAGTATTAATTTCAAATAATTTTGGAATGGTAGTGTATTTATACATGCACATAAAAAGAGTCTACCTGTCCGGGTCAAAGGTGACATGCCTGCCTTTTCGCTGCTGCTGCATCTGATACTGGGCTCGTGCATCTAGGTATGCATGTTCAAGAGACTCCTGCCCCTGTGCCAGTGTGGAGAGACCCTGTAGATGAGTCAGTTCAGAGTCAGTCTGACTTCATGTCTTTAAAAAAAAATCAAATTTTTTGAAAAGCATCAGCGTACCTTTATCTGTTCACAGGGCTTGAGCTTCCCATTCTTTAGAAGTGCCTCAAAAGCATCAACCTGAAAAAACAAAGAAAAAAAAGATTTAGGGTTCAAAGCACTGCTGTTAAAATAAAATGCCTGTTAATATGAATTTTGACATAATGACGGTCATCGATTAAAGTTAAAACTGCTTATTTTAAAGTACCTGTAGCTGAAATCTTTGAGTTTGTTTGGTCAGAGTCTCTGTTAGGTGGTTTGCAGTGAGAGATCCAGACCTCCTCAAGCTGACCGAGTTCACAGAGGAAGGACGAGTTGGTGTTTTTCTGCAGTTTTCTACGATGTGAATAAAGCAATTTTGAGATGATTTAACAAAATTGTTCAGTTTGACTGCAAAGTCATTTAGAAGAGATTATAAGACAGTTATGAAATTAAATTTTTATTTAAAATTTGATGCAAGGCATCAAATTCAAGCATAAATGTGGTTTTGACGCTTTTTAATATGATGTCACAGACTGCCTGTAGACGTCTCTTCCTTATAGTATTCCCTCTAACTCTAGCACACTCTATTCTTTAAAAAAACTTGTCCCTTTTATACTTGCACTCTATTCATTTACTAACTGCTTGTTTTCTTCAAAAAAAACAAAAAAAAACTAACTCTAGCTTCTCTAATCTTTTTGTATTCTATCTATTTGTTTTAATTTATTATATAATACAAAAAAACCTTGCTACGTGTACTGCGTTAAGCTAACTGAAACTTGTTATAGCACTTGCATATAATTGCTCTTTTGTTGATTTCGATTGCTTCCATTATCCTCATTTGTAAGTCGCTTTGGATAAAAGCGTCTGCTAAATGACAATGTAAATGTAAAATAATATCACAAAATACACATGAATAAACATCAGAAGATATGTTGAAAGAAAAAGTACAACTTAGTGAAATGTATCATGCCTTGCAATCGCTCAATCAGTGTTTCAATTGTGGAAAGACGTCAATAAAACCTCAGAAAACCAATTCAAAGTCCACAGGTTGCAAAAATAACACAAATATATATTCCAGTGTATATGTTGAATTACTACAAAAAAGAAATCAGCCAAAAATAAAAATCTGCTGTGTTTTGAACTATTTACAGAATATATGTTTGAGTATGATAACACATCTGTTTGAGTATGATAATTGTGTGATTTTTAAATACACAATACAAGCACACAGTTTTAAAGTGTCAGTGTGATGTACCTGAGTGATCCCTCTGCTGGATCAGGTGAGCAGAGCCTGTGCCGAACTCTGCCCTCTGCGCTTGAGGAAAACTGAGCGTTATGACCTTTGACGCTTCCTGAATAACACCTGACAGGATAGCTGTACTGGGTTTTGGGGGTTCAGAACAGAGACCAACCTGAAAACACACAGCACATACACAACAATTATGAGTTGATGGTTAAAGGGCCAAAAAATGACAAAGAAATCAGCAACCATCTGTCTGAAAAATCTACTTTGCCAACAATCTACAGGCCCATTACTATGCATAATGTCTTGTAATGCTAGAAAATCAATAAGAGTCTTGTGTGAACACATTCAAGTCAACCCTGTGCTCTATATAAAATCTATTTAAATGCATGTTTACATGGTAGACTGTACCTTTAGGACTAAAAAGGTTAAATGTGGAAAAAAAGTATGTTTATCTTATAATTGGTAACATCTGATTTTAAGTATCACAAACAATTTCTGTTTCCCAATATATAGTGCGAAGAACATAAGGACTGTGTCACCATGCATCTATTGTGTTGATGCTGAGACCATCAGAGAAATACAGCCCTGTTTTGCCCGCCCATGTGACAGACCCTCAGATTTGCTGCAGACTAGTGACTTGAACCACAAAGGAGCACAAAGGAGACTCATGTACAATAAAGGGCTCATAAAACAGGCCATTTAATGGTGTTTTCCACTGCTGGACTTACCGATAAGACAATGGATAGAGAAACGCACTGAAAACACAATGTCAATAGGCTGATATCCATGCACTTCACCACCCACCCACACACCCACACACACCCACACACACTCGTGACTTAAATGGGTTTTGTGTGCTGAAATCTAATGGAGGTCGAATGACCGTCCCCTCTTGATAAGTCTCTGAGACACTAAATCATACTGAACACAACCTCAACATGACCTCTGAGTCTTTTGAATAAAATCACCCATTTTCAAACACAATCAATATAATTACAGGATCAATACTAGAAGCAGATCATCAGATCTCAATTAGCAGTTTTACCAGCCTATGCTTACAATTTTCACATGGGGTACGCAAAATAAATAAATGTTTTATTTATTCTTACATTTTTATTTTTCCAAAATCTGCTGTACTTAATATATATGATGATGATAATATTGTCATTTATGAGAAGTGTTTGACTCGTTGACCACTACCCTACATAAAATAAATGCTATATATTTCTGTCTGAATTTCAAGTGATTGCAAAGGCCATTTCCATTTCTAGAGTTTTATCATTTATCACCCACACCTATTCCCACATAAATAAGAAACTACAACTAAGTAGTTCAATAAGGGATTAAAGTGAATGAACCCTGTTTATCTCAAGCTGTTGTGTCTGTTAAAGCAGAGGCAGATGGCCAGGGCATGTGGGGGAAGAACTTAATGAGCATTAGAGAAAATGCAGCTGGAGATGTAAAACCGAACAGAGAAATAGCCTAAAATTAGCTACATTAACTAATTACCAATGTTGCTCTGAAAATGTATGCACCGTTAGTAATTTTGCACTGTGTAACGCTGACTTCTTATGTAACAGCGAAGGTAGACATGACATCACATCCTTTTTTAATCCTGTTGATGGCTCAGGCCCCGAATTGTTTCAGGTCACTTTGTCATTTGACACAGTTCTGTTTACTAACTGTTTTCTACACTGAAGCAATGTATGACCTTCTCAGACAAATAAACAGAGCTCATTTCATCAAAATAAATGATAATGCCAATTAGGCTGTGAATCAATATAAATATTTAATCAGTTTAAATATATAATTCTCTGTTTTTTTTCATAGATAATGTGCTGCATTCAATTCCATTTAAAGGAAATTATTGAAAAAAAAATGCGGAATTACTGTATTTTAGCAACAATTTGTGCATTAACTGTGTAAAAAAACATTTGTGTTCATAAACTAGTATGCAAATAATATAATGATTTGTACAAGTAATGCTTTTGTATGTACACTGCTTATTGTCTCAGTTTGTTTGCTAGTGTTTCTCTAAAACGCTTTGTCATCTGAGGTAAGCCCTTTCTGCAGGCCTTTCATTGGAGGAAAAACATTACAATCAGAGTTTGAGAATGAGCTTGTGCTTGAATACGGTGGCGCTGCTAAACTGAGGGCTGTGATTATGGCGGTCACAAAAGAGATTCTGCATTTATAGTGTGTTGACTCAGCCTGAGGAGTCTAAAAATAGCTCTCGCCGACATCAGACCACACGCAGAAATGAGACAGGCCTGCTGATACGAGGGAGAGTATGGCACTGAATTCACGTCAACCTTCAGATGAAGGGAAAAAAGCATAAAACCATAAACACAGTCTGTGAAGCCAACCTTTGCTTCAAGGCGAAGTCGATCGATAGTATTTTCAGCTTCTGCGTACTTGGTAAGCAGCCTGTTATAGTCCTCCTGTGAGAAAAAGAGAGAGAGAGGAAAAAATAAAAGACATAGATAAAGAAACATAACAGATGGCTTTATCTTTTAGCCTCTTGGATAAATCAGCATCATTTTGAGTGTCAATGTTTGTAATGCTACACTCCCTATATTAAAATAAATAAATAAAATTTGTCAAAACATAGTGCACACTGCAAAGGGAAACTGTATCCCACAATGCAATTCAATTTAAACTTCCCTCTTTAATTCCCTCTCGAATATCAACCAGCCTTTTAACATCTCATACTACTTTTGCAAATATGTAAAATATGTAGAATATTACTGTTTAAAATGTTTATTGTTGCATAATGTATATGGTTTGATTTGCTTTCACAGTATACACTGTTCAAAAGTTTGGGGTTAGTATATATATTTTTTTAAATTACGAAACTAATATTTAATATTTAAAGGGGTCATATGATGCGATTTAAATTTTTCCTTTCTCTTTGGAGTGTTACAAGCTCTTGGTGTATAAAGAAGATCTGTAAAGTTGCAAAGACTAAAGTCTCAAATCCAAAGAGATATTCTTTATAAAAGTTAAGACTCGTCCACGCCCTCCTAAAACGGCTCGTTCTAACACGCCCCCACATACCTACATCACTATTGGTTTTGTTTACGCGTTTACATGCAACACAACGCATAAAAAGACAGTATAAGTCATTATAATCCGTAATTATGTTCCCAATGGATGCAACAAATGCCTCGTTTTAATTATAGTGCTCCGGCCGGACAGGGCATCACAATATTTTCACAATATTTTAAGGGGCGTAACATTTCCGTCACACACTTGAGGTATTCGGCCACCCCTTTAAGAAATATTAATATTTTTTATTCAGCAAAGATGCATTAAATTGATCAAAATTGACAGTAAAGTAATTTATCATGTTACAAATGATTTCTATTTCAAATAAATTCTGTTCTTTTGAACTCTCCATTCAAAGAATCCTGAAAAAATAATAACAGTTTCCACAAACATATTAAGCAAAAGCAAAGCATTTTAGAATGATTTCTGAAGAATCATGTGACACTGAGGACTGGAGCAACGGCTTCTGAAAATTCAACTTTTATATCACAGAAATAAATGACATGACAAAATTATTTCACAATGTGTTTTTTGTATTTTATGTGAGCATAAGAGACATAAAAAACATTTTTTTAAAAATCTTATCGACTGTATACTATGCAGTAAATAGTATACTAGTATTTCACTTTAAACAGCATGTTCATGATTTACTCCTTATATACCTGCAGCTGCTGCATCAGTGTGCTGGCCTGCTGGGGGCAGCGGAACTCCTCTGGTACTGTGCTGTGCAGATGCTTGTGGGCCCCACTGATGGAGGGGCTTCCTGGAGACCTATCAGAGCTGCTCAAAAGGACCTCTCTCACAATCTCAGCAGGGGACTTGAACACTACAGGAAGATCCGGGTGTGAAGTTCTATCATCAGGAGGTTGACGGCTTTTAGGAGGTTTGTATCCACTCTTTTTCGGGAAGCGTACCCTCGGCTCCACTTTGGAGAAATCAGGTAAAGGGTGACTCAGCTGTCCTTTCCTAAGAATACATATACATCAATAATCAGTTAAAAAATAATGCTAAATTGGACTAAGTATGGACTACTCACATTCTATGTTTAAGTAAATACTCAGTATGGACTAATCACATTCTAAGTTTACTGTATTTTATATAAATATATAATATTTCATATGTACATGTATTTTTTGAGACCATTTTTTATATTATTTTTTATATTAATAAAAATTAAATCAAATCAATCTGAGCAGCTGAGTCCTTACCCATCTTCAAGAAACGACTAAAAACACATCTGTTCCACCTTTATTTGACCCTCTAACTCTAACACTTTCTATTCTATCATAATTCTACTTTATCTATATTTATCTATTATTTACAGAGAGATTTATATATTGTATATTGATAAGTAAAAACTTATTTTAATTAGGGGTGAACTCATTAACAAATCATGGGTCACATTAATCAAATAATGAATTTGTGTCTATTTTTCAACTCACCTGACGTCATCTGGATCAGTGTGAGAGGTTTTGGAGGTTCTGTGGTTCTTTATTGCTGAAGACCGGTGAGGTGTAGGAGGTGGCGAACGCTCTGAGGGGGAGACGCTTGCTTTAGAAATGCACTGCGCTGGAATGGAAACCTGATCGTCACAGGAAGCTGGGTTTGTTTTTCTGGGAGAGGGCGTTGGAGGCTGCAGATTGTGGTTAGGACAGTGTAACCCTACTTTTTGTCCACTCGTACCATCTTGGTGTGTTTTTCCAAGTCTGATTTTTATTACAGGGCTTCTGGCTGAAGTTTGAGGTGTAACCTTGTGTTTAATCTCCTCCCCTTTTGATCTAACTGTGTGGTATGTTTTAGGGGTTCTAAGAGACGACTCTGCCCTAATGTCTGCCTCTGGAAAAGTCTCAGCTTCAATTCCACAGTTATTCATCAGTTCCTCTGAGGACAAATGGGGAAAACTGATGAGATTAGAAGTGTTTTGTGAGATACGATGTGAGACTGGCAGAAATTGTCCATTGGTTTCCTCAAGTTCCTCAGAATCACTTTGCTCAGAATGCTCTGGGATTCCTGAAATTAGAATATTTTCAGAGATTTCACTGTAATCACAGCTCTTCACCCTTTTAAACATAGATGCCATCTCTTCTGTGACAGGAAATGTTTGATCCATGAATCTCTGAGCATCTTCACAGGTTTCTTTCTCTTCTGTTTCCGCATCAGTCATGTCTAGCACTGTCTCTCTCTGCGGGAAAGAGTTTAATTTGTGACTGTGGATTGTTGGGCTCCCTGTACTGTCCTCATCGTCAGTCCAATCTTCCAACAAAACACTTCGGTCATCTTTTGTTTTGTGTTCTTCCTCTAAAAAAAGAGAGAAAGTGAATGAAAACCTTTTAGACCATATGGAATATTTTTATGATACTTATACTACCATTTAAAAGTTTGGGGTCGTTAAAATGTTTTTGTCTCTTTCACTCACCAAGCCTGCATTTACAGTATTTGATAAAAAATACAGTTAAAAACGGTAACATTGTGAAATAGTATTGCAATTGTTTTTCTATTTATTTTACATGTAATGTATTCTTGTGATGTCAAAGCTGAACAAAGCTATGAGAATACTTTTTGTGCGCAGAAGAAAAAAAAAACGACTTTATTCAACAATTCGTCTCCTCCACATCATCCTAGCGCCATTTTGGTGAGTATCCACTGAACGTAAATTGCACATGCTGTTTTGTGTCAGCTTTGCTTTGTGTAAGGACCCTTGCTGTCTATGGGAGGGTCAGAGAGCTCTCAGATTCCATCAAAAATATCTTAATTTGTGTTCCGAAGATGAACGGAGATCTTACGGGTTTGGAAGAACATGAGGGTGAGTAATTAATGTCAAAATTTTCATTTTTGGGTGAACTATTCCTTTAATAGACACGGAAGTGAACGGAATTCAGAGTTCACGTGCATCTGCGTGGCTCTCACTTTGTCTACCCTGGACGCGAGCAGTGATGCGGTCTACACTGGATGTGGCGCAGCGCGACACGACAAATTCCCGACAGTAAACTGATGCCGCATTCTATTTATGACCTACTGACACACAGTTCAGATGATGTGCAAAGGTCGCTTTGTCGCGTCCAGTGTAGACAGACTTTATTGCGGCGCAACACGACAGATGTCTTGTCTGGTGACACGGTGTCTGTGTGTGAGCAAAGAAAACGATCAGTATAAATATAACGCTCGGTATAGGCTACTAAACATTGCACATCCTGCGATGTGACTATCTCGGATGCGCACATCGCGATATCGAAGCTGAAACGATATATCGTGCAGCCCTATCTCGGAATGCATCAAAAATATCTTAATTTGTGTTTCGAAGATGAACGAAGGTCTTACGGGTTTGGAACGACATGAGGGTGAGTAATTAATGACAGAATTTTCATTTTTGGGTGAGCTATCCCTTTAAAGAACGGTAGTGTATCTATGGATAAATTATCCCTTTACACAAAACTTAAAGGGGTCATATGATGCTGCTAAAAAGAACATTATTTTGTGTAGTTGGTGTAATGAAATGTGTTTATGCGGTTTAAAGTTAAAAAAACACATTATTTTCCACATACTGTACATTATTGTTTCTCCTCTATGCCCCGCCTTCTGAAACGCGTCGATTTTTACAAAACTAATCGGTCTGAAAAGCGAGGTGTGCTCTGATTGGCCAGCTATCCAATGCGTTATGATTGGCCGAATACCTCAAGCGTGAGAAGGAAATGTTACGCCCCTCACCATACTGTGTTGATCACCTCCTGCTGCCCTTGACTCTCTGCCAGACCAATGATGCCATTCGTATCCATCTGGCTTTGAAAGTCCTCATCTGGTTCTTCATCCCAGCTGAAGTCCGACCCGTCTAGGCTTGAGGGAGAGGAGTACGCTGGGGCTGGTGTCCACACCAGAACCCCTGCGGTGGTACCACCTCTGCTCCGCTCCATTACCTGGCTCTTTATCGCTCTCTTTTATTCCACCTTGAGCTCCTATACCACCTGCAGCTCAACATTGATATTGATGTCATCTCTAGTAGCTGACCATTTATGAATGTTTTATGAACAGCCTGCGTAATGTCCACTCAAGGGTCATCAAGGTGATTTAACATGACCTGAAAAACACAGAAATATCATATTTTATCATTGTCATTGATCAACTTATGCATTACCAATAACCTTTCATGAGATATAAAACAGAAAACATTTCACAAAACTAATTACATCAAAGATAAATAATTATCAACTGTTTACAGCAGCATTAACAGATAATAAATCCATTCAAGCTGAAGGAGAAGGAGGTGACTAAAGAGATTCATTCTTAGCGAACATACCCTTATGCGTCTGCGTAACTCTTTACAATAGTCTAATTAATGCTGTCATTCATGTACCGTAGCTCAGTGCTAATTGAGCATGATGAAAGTCTATGCAAAGTCTGTAAACAGATGCTCTCAAGTGGAACCACAAAACATCTGAATAAATAATGCAGTTCTTCACCTGCTTCATAAGCCCTGAGAGAAAGCAACAGAGCGTAAACTTAAAAACAGCATATATATATATATTTTTTTTTTAGATGTACTAAATTCTTAGTCACTACAATTATAAAACACTATTCTACCTCAAGTTGCATGTAAACATTAAGGTTTTGACTTCAAGATTGGGCAAAAAATATATATATATATTTTTTCCCCCCTCACACCCTGAACTAATATATATAATCTAGTTCCAAAGTCTGGAGTCACTAAGGTTTATTCAGCAAGGATGCATTAAATTGATTAAAAAAATACACTAAAGACATTTATAATATTACTAAATATTTTTATTATAAATTAATGCTTTTAGTTTTCACAAAACTACTACACAGCACAACACTGATAATTAGAAGAAATGTTTCCTGACCACCAAATCAGCATATTAGAATGATTTCTGAAGGATCATGAAATAATGAAGACTGTAGTAAAAAATGCTTTGCCTTCACACTAGGGTTGTGTCGGTGAGGAAATTTTCCCACCGGTTAATCGGCGTGTGACAACACCGGTAATACCGGTATCACCGCGGGGGCGGGGCGTTCCCTCTTTTCCTAGCTTTCCTTCTCTTTTTAATTTGTCAGTCAGCTCGACTCACTCTCCTCACTGGAGAAATGAAATCTGATCTGTGATGCGACTGTCGTTCGGCACGCTGCATTGAGCAGCCGCATTCAGTTTTTAATTGTAGTGTCTGTTCTTTTACTGAACTAAATGATTTTTATTACTATAAAAAATCAAAACGACGGTGGGGGTCAGTGACGCGGTGGGCAAGTGACGTAACCGGTGTTGCGGCTTAACACCGGTATCACCGTCAACACCGTCTATCGCGGCAAGTCTACTTCACACAGGACATTTGGTCCCCACAATGTAGCATAAGCAAGTACACACACACACCCTTTCAAAACGTTTAAGGTATATATAAACACATTTGTTTTTCAAGATTTACACAATGACCTGAAGGACAGTTACATAATCAAAGCGAGAACTTCACTTTTGTCTTTTCAATGCATTTTTTTTTTTACTTGTCATATTAAAGGGGTCATATGATGCGATTTCAAGTTTTCCTTTCTCTTTGGAGTGTTACAAGCTGATTGTGCATAGATAAGATCCCTGAAGTTGCAAAAACTAAAGTCTCAAAACCAAAGAGATATTCTTTCTTAAAGTTAAGACTCTGCCACGCCCCCCTAAAACGGCTCATTCTAACACGCCCCCACATATCTACCCCACTATGTGGAAATATTTGCATAATCCCGC